AGCTTCTTCTGGGTCTCCCACATGGGCACAGGGGCCCAAGCACTTGGGCCATCCTCTACTGCCTTCCCAGGCCACAGCAGAGAGCGGGATCGGAAGTGGAGCAGCCGGGACTCCTATAGGATGCCAGCACCGCAGGCGGTGGCTTTACTGGCTATACCCCAGCAGCAGCCCCCACAGGCAGCATCGTAACCCTCTATGCCACAACGCCAGCCTCTAAGCAAGTCTAACAGATGAATAAAAATTCCACTGCTTTCCCAGGCCATAAGCAGAGCTGGATCAGAAGAGAAGCAGACGGGACTCCAACTGGCGCCCACATGGGAGAGGCTCAGCCCACTGCACCACAGCACCAGCCCTCACCGCCAGCTTTCATCTACAAGTCTCCCTGTAGCCCCAGGGAGCCCAGGAATCCAGGCAAAGCTGCCCTGCTCCCTGCTCTGTGCGCCCTCCAGCCCTGAACCGACAGCTTTGCCGCACGTTGTGTCAGCGAGCCTGGGTTTCACTGGGGGTCCCACGGCAGTTTTACTGCATCCGTCTCTCGGGCTCTGCCCTTCCTCCTCTCCATGAGGGTCTGAGTACTTCTGCACACAGAAAAGAAAGTATACTCAGGTGTACTCAGGTATAGTCATCCGTGGGAGTGGGATTCGCAGGCTGGCAGTGCTTAGGGGGATTTCTGCTTTGTATGTGCTCTGCGTTGTTGGACTGTGACGTTCTGAACTGAAAGGTTTAAGAACAACAGGATAGCAGGCGGAACCTCACGAGGTTTATGACTTTCAAGTCACCCTCTTACGTGGTTAGCAGGTCAAAGAGGAAGGAAAAGCACACTTGGAAAGCAGGAAAATCAAGCACTCTTCTCAGTACCTCTAGGCTCAGTGGCAATGCAGGTTCCTGAAGCTTTCACTAAAGAGTGAAAATAAATTAACTCCCGATAATGAGTAGAATTGTTTGCCCTATGGTCCAAGTCTACTTTTTTAAAGATTTATTTATTTGAGAGGCACAGTTAGAGAGAGAAGGACAGAGAAAGAGAGAGAGAGAGAGATCTTCCATCCACTGGTTCACTCCCCAGATGGCTGCAATGACCAGTACTGGGCCAGGAGCTTCTTCCGGGTCTCCCACGTGGGTGCAGGGGCCCAAGCACTGCCTGTGCTCAGGTGCCGGTATCCTTCTCGCTGTCCCTGGAGCTGCTGTCCTATCAGACACTCCCGGCCGACCAGATGCTGCCCGGGGTGGACATCGTGCGGAGTGCCCGCGGAGAGCGCGAGATGGTGTTCACGCAGAGCCTGCGCCTGGACTACGGCACGCAGAGCGCCCAGGCCAGTGCTGGGCCCCAGGGAGGAAGGCGGGCCGAGGCGGACAAGGGCCCCAGGGCGCACCAGCACTGCCCGGAGCAGTCTCCTGAAAGGGGCCCTCGGGCAGGGAGGAAGCTGGCCTCTGCCTCAGGCTCCCAGGGCCAGGCCTCCCTGGAGGAGGTAACTGGAGCCAGGCCCCTGTTCAGTGGAGGGAGGAGGGAAACCACGGTGTCTGTCAGCCCCAGGGAATGGCAAGATGGGCGGGGACAGTGAGCACTGGAGGCAGCGGCCAGGGACAGCACTCTTGGGGCTCGGAGCACCAGGGCGGCTCACTGGGCCTGGAGTGCCCTGCTCAGCTTAGGGGGAGGGGCGGGGACGAGGCCTAGGGGGGAATCCACTGAGGCTGGAGGCTGGGCAGTGGCCCCTGGGCAGCCGCAGGGACAGGGGTGGGTGGAGCCAAGGAGGGTGTTCCGGTGACGGGGGGTGGGGGGCCAGGAGCAGTGGGTGCTGAGCTGGAAGGGGCAGGTGAAGGGGAAGAGGCTGGCTGGCCAGGCCAGGCCGAGGGCACGGGCTGGATGGCAGTGGGCGGGGGCAGGGACTGCAGGGGCACCACCCTGGCCCAGCCCTGAGCAGAAGCCCAGCTTCTGGCTCCTGGGGCCGCCCCGCTGTCCCCAGAGCAGTAGGCCCCGGGCGGCAGGGTCCCGGCCTAGAGCGGCCAGCCCAGGGCCCCTGCCGAGGTCGAGGCTCTGTCCGCAGGAGGTGCCCCTGCGGGCCGTGGTGGCCGTGCCCGAGCTCCAGCTCTCCAGCAGCTGGGTGGACTTCGGCACGTGCCTTGTGAAGCAGCGGCAGGCGCGCGAGGTCTGCCTGATGAACCTGAGCGGCTGCCAGAGCTACTGGGCCGTGCTGATGGGTACGCGGGGCCGCCGGGCACTCCTGCTGCCCCCCGCCCGCCCCCTGTCCCCGGGGCAAACACCTCCCGGAAGGGGCTGCAAACCCTGTCCCTGCAGGCTGGCTGCCGGGGCTGGGCACCTGCAGCCAGGGCCAATGCCCGGTGACCACAGGGTGGCCCCGCTCAGGGCGGAGCTGTGGCGAGCCCTGGGGCTGGGGGAGGCATTAGGGCTGGCCCCGCGCAAGGCCCACACCGCTGTGCCCCCCTTGCCCTCCGTGCAGGGCAGCAGGAGGCAGCCAAGGACGCAGGAGCCTTCGAGGTGTCCCCGAGCACCGGCGTGCTGGAGGCGCGGCCCCACAACGGGCCCCCGACCTCCGTCAGCCTGCAGCTCCTCTTCACCGCCAGGTGCAGCCTGCTGGCCTCCCCGGGCTGCCCACGGGTGGAGCCGCTGCCCGGCCCCTGCTGACCTCAGGCCCACTGCCCGCAGGAGCTGCGAGCTGTACCAGTGCACGCTGGTGGTGGACGGCGTGCTCGGGGAGAAGGCCTGCGCCCTGCGGCTCCAGGGCCTCGGCTCTCACGACGAGAGATATGCGTCCTCGCTGCAGCCCTGAGGCTCGGCCCGGCCCTCGGCCCAGGCCCGGTTTGCCCCAGCTCTGCCGGGCACGGACCACGCTGGGCCCCGGGAGCCAGGGCCACGGGCTCCGCCCCGCACTGCGCATGCCCACAGCTGCCCCGGCCCCGCCCAGCGCGGCAGAAGTCACGGCCGAGACGGCGCAGAGAGGCCCAGGGAGGCGAGCACCGGCCAGGAGACAGCCACAGCCACAGCCCCCAGGCAGGCGACCACGTTTACTGCGTCCACGCATCCAGGAGGGGCGCCACCGCCCACCCCGGCTGGCTTGCCCTGGCCCAGCAGAGGGGCCCGAGCGCCCGCCACGCTCCTGCGCTGAGCCGCCCAGACGCGCGTCTTCCCGTGAGCGCAGTGCCTTCACTGGGCCCCTCCTCCGGTGCTGGACCCCGCGCTGTGCTACTGTCGACGGCTCTCCTGCCCCTGGGCGGCTGTCGGGGCAGCGTCTCGGGCCGGGGCCTGGCTCAGTGCCCAGGGTATTCAAACACGGCAGCGGCGCCCATCCCGGTCCCGATGCACATGGACACCACTCCGTAGGCCCTGTGGACACAGGCAGGTGACACGCCAGCCCCCCCCCCCCGCTGTCCCATCCCCTCTGTGAGCGTGGCGGATGCCCGCTGTGGGCCAGGGTCCTCGTGGAGCCCAGCATGTGCCCTGCACCTTGGGCCCGCGTCCCTAGTTCGTGCCCCTGCCCTCCCCAGCCCAGCCCAGCCTGGCCCCGCCAGCCCCTGGAGCGCAGCCCGACCTCTTTCCACGGCGCTTCAGCTCGTTGAGCAGCGTGATGACCTGGCGCGCCCCGGTGCAGCCCAGGGGGTGGCCCAAGGCCACCGCGCCCCCCAGAGGGTTCACTTTCTCAGGGGGGATTCCCAGCTTCTCCACGCAGTAGACGGCCTGGCAGGAGGCAGGACTTCAGCAGAGACCCCTGCCCCGCACCCCTTGCCCACGTGCTGCCCCCGCAGCCCAGGGCCCATGAGTGCGGGGGACACAGCTCACCTGGCTGGCAAAGGCCTCGTTGATCTCAAAGATGTCCACGTCCTTCACCGTCAGCCCTGAGGGCCGGGGCAGACCTGAGCCAACGCTGCGCTGGGCAGGACTCCCAGTGCCCGGGCCCACCCCGTGCAGGGGCCTGCCGCAGGTGCCGGCTGGTCTGCCCCGCCCTCACCCTGCACCATCGGGGACCGCCCCCCCCACAAGCCCAGAGCCACCTGACCTGCTTGTTGCAAAGCTGCGGGGATGGCGTAGGCCGGCCCGATGCCCATGATGTCAGGCGGGACGCCGACCACGGCGTAGGCTCTCAGCACACCCAGGATGGGAAGGCCCAGCTCCTCAGCCTTGGCCCTCCGTGCCAGCAGGACGGCGGCCGCCCCATCGCTCACCTGGCTCGAGTTTCCTAGGGGCAGGTAGACAGGGGAGGGGCCTCAGGGGGGCACAGCCAGCCCTGCACACCCTCCGACCAGCACCAGGCCCCTGGCTCAGCCCTCACCGGCCGTGGTGGAGCCGCCGTCCTTGAAGGCAGGCTTGAGCTTGGCCAGGCCCTCCATGGTGGTGCCCGGGCGGATGCCCTCGTCCTGAGCCACCGTGACGCTCCTGCTGCCGCCCTTGTCATCGCGCACCGTGGTCGTCACTGGCACAATCTCGGCTCGGAAGCAGCCCCTGCTCTGGGCTCTCGCCGCCCTGCCAGCGCGCGCACAGCCGGCTCAGCTCCCTGGGGGCGCGGGGGCTCTGGCCGAGCGGCAGCCTCTTGGCCATCAGCCCCGGACCTCCGGGTCCCAGCCACCCAGTCCCCGAGCGGAGGGGACCCCGCCCCAGCACCCTTCATCCAAGCAGGGCGGGGGCACCTCGTCCCACCAGGGCCACCTGCACACAGCATCACTGTGGGCCAACCATCAGATTAAAATCCGCCTGTGACAGACTGCGTTCCGCATCCCACCTGCGGTGCCTTGGCAAGGCCAGACCGAGGGATGCCATGGGCCCACGTTCCCCCAATCTGCTCCCAGGACTGAGCCTGCGGGAGGGGGCGGGAGGGGGCCGCTGGGCTCCGGAGCCTGGGAGGGGCTGGGTTCTGCCAGCTGAGCCCTTCTCCCAGCAGCTCAGGGCTGTCCCTCCCAGTGCACACTTAGAGACAGACGCGGAACCGCCCGCCATAGCTCGAATCTCAGTGGGCTGGCGGCACAGCACGTGGGGGAGCCCGGGGAGGGCTGGCGGCACAGCACGTGGGGGAGCCCGGGCGGGCTGGCGGCACAGCACGTGGGGGGGGCCCGGGCGGGCTGGCGGCACAGCACGTGGGGGAGCCCGGGCGGGCTGGCGGCACAGCATTTAGGGGAGCCCGGGCGGGCTGGCGGCACAGCACGTGGGGGGGTCCAGGAGGGCTGGCGGCACAGCACGTAGGGGGGCCCGGGTAGGCTGGCGGCACGGCACGTGGGGGAGTCCGGGCGGGCTGGCGGCACAGCACGTGGGGGAGTCCGGGCGGGCTGGCGGCACAGGCGCATTGGGGAGCTGGCAATCGTGTGTGAAACAGGCGCAAGGAGCACCCGGCGGGAAGGCACCCAGAGCTCCCAGCGAGGGTTCAGGTGGTGTCTGGCCCAGAGACACCCGAGTCCCTCCTCGGAGACCCGGATGCCACTCCCCTCCCTCGCTGTCCCCCCCCCCCCCCCCCGCAGCTCAGAGTGGCCAACATTAGCCTGCTGCTGTCCGGGGCCCTGAGCCCCTGCGTACTCTGAGGTCACCCCCAGCCCCCACCGCAGGACGGGACCCCAGACGCAGGCCTGGTCCCGAGGGAGGCTGGGATGCCGGGTTCCCAGCGCCAGCTCCTAGCAAAGCCTGGGCGGCCACGTCCCACCCCACACCCAGGCAGAGACGAGACCTGGCCCTCGCTGTGCCCCTGAGGAAAGAGGGGGGAGGGGGGCCCAGCGGGCAGAAGACACTCAGTGGGCAGACAGGCACGCGACCCCAGGCCCGGCCCCTCCTGGCTGGGAAAGTGCGGGGGCGTGGCCGCTGTGGCCTCAGGCTGGGCCCGCCCGCCCTGCCGTCCTCGCAGCCCAGGGACACTCACTTCTGCTGCGAGGCCAGCGCGAAGGCGTCCTGCTTCTCTCTGGAAATGCCGAACCGCTCCGCCACGTTCTCCGAGGTTATCCTAGAAGGTGGGGGCGGGGCCGGACTGGAGCAGCGGGCGGGGGCCCTGGGGCCCAGGGCTGTGGGCAGGGAGGGCGGCGGGGGGGGGGGGGGGGGGAGAACAGACCGCGAGGCGGCGCTGCCGGCCAGACCTGCGGAAGCTCGCACCCACAGCCACCAGCGCCCGAGAGGGAGGCCCGCACGGTCAGGTGCAGGCCGGGGTCTGATCCCCGGGGACGCCGGCGTGGCACAGAGGATGGGGCGGGGGGCCCATGGGGCACAGGGCGGCTTCGCGGCCAATGTCTGACGTTCCCACACGGGGAGACGGGAGCCCCTCGCAGGCTCGGCAAGGCTGAGGCTAGGAGGCCTGTCCCGGCCTGGGCCCCAGGGGCACAGCTGAGCTCTGCCAGGCCCCTGGGCAAACAGCTCAGCCTCTCTGAGCCGTCAGGGCTCCCACAGCCGCTGGAGCCAGGGCGCCCTGGCCAGGCCCCGGGGATGGCCCAGCACTCAGGGACACTGGCTCAGGTGCTGGTCACACGCAGGGCACGTCCCACTGCGGCGGGGCCCAGCCCTCAGTAGCACGCCCAGCAGTCAGCCCCCCGCTCCTCTCACGGCCCGGCCCTGCCAGGCTCCAGGTGCAGCGGCCAAGGTCCTGGCCGAGGCTGAGGGCCTCGGGGAGGGGCGACAGGGCGGCTGCGTTTGCAAACTCAGGGGCACGGACGGAGCCGGGGCTCAGGACAGGGAAGTCGAGGGCAGCGTCACGCCAGGACCCCACGGCAGGGAGGCCACGGCCGCAGGGATGGGACGGCCCTGGGCCCTGCCCCGGGGCCCACACAGGCGCCGTGGGAGACACTCACCCCATGGGAATCAGGCAGTCTCTGGCCTTCTCGTTCTCCACCAGGCGCGAAGTGATGTTTCCAGGGTTCCCTCGTTCAGCCATGGACATGGACTCCACCCTGTGGAGGAGGGGGAGGAAGCCCAGGAGCGGTGGGCGGAGCCCGCAGGCAGGGCTGCACCCTGGGCCCTGAACCTGCCCCCCAGAGGCCCCGCCTGGGTCGGCCCCGCTCCCCTACAGAACTGGGAAATCGGGGTCCTGGTAGCTCCCCAGCACAGCCTCAGTCAGCCGCCGAGGGGGAGTGGCCGTGGACTCAAGGCAGAATACCAGGACGCTCAGGCCAGCCGGCGCTGCGAGCTGCACGGACCCCGAGGTGCTGGGAGCCATGGGAGGGCAGGAGAGCCAGCACCCTGTGCTCAAACAGGGCTCCAGGGGGGGCTTGCCGCATGCCAGTCCACGGGGCGCCTGCAGGTGCTCCGGGGCCTCACGTCAGCACCCCACCCCACAGAGGAGGACGCTGAGGCCAGGGGGCTGAGGACCTCGTCCACGCACACCCAGCCTGGATGCAGATGAGGCAGTCCAGCATCACAGCCCATGCCTGTCACAGGTCCACAGCCCTGGGGACCGCCTGGGCGGCAGGCGTCACCCTGGCCGGACCCTGAACATCCCCAGGCCCCCGTCCTCGACCTGCTGGAACACGTGCCCTTTTCCACACTCAGCGTGCCTCCAGCTACCTTTCCCCTAGTAAGACGGGGCAGGAGAGAGGCCAAAGGTCAGACTGCACAGTGCCCTTGCCCAGCCTAAGTGCCCGCAGGGCGGTGCACCTAAGTCAGGGAGGCCCAGTGACCACCGGCATGGGCTTCCGGCCACGAAACAGCCATGGGGTCAGACAGGCAGCGGGAGCTCAGCGGGACCCAGCCTGCTCCCGACGCCCGCCCAAGCCGGTCACATTTTGCTGCAGTCCCGGACGCAGCGAGGTCAGGGTGGAGGCATGCAGCCTACACTCCAGACAGGACCCTGCCCCTTGGACCACAGGAGGGGCCGGCTGCTCTCCCCAGGGGCAGACAGGCAGGGAAAATGAGCATGCGAGGTGTGGGGTCAGCAGCTGCCCCCGGCTTCGAGGACCCAGGACTGCGACTCCCCGGGCCGCAGGAGCCCAAGCGCTCAGTTTCCTTAAGAGAGCCGCCTGCACGGCCAGCCTGACGTGGGCCTCAGGGAGGGGTCGGCTCTGCTGTCACGGGGTTCAGGGGCTCCACACACGGGCATCCTTACCCACAGGCCATGCCGATGTCGTAAGACCCATTTCTGATGCCGCCTGGAACGAGAGCGTTTCGTGAGCACCCTGGGCCAGCTCCCCACCCGGCCTCTGCGCCCAGGCCAAGGTCGGGGGCTCCTTCACGCCTTCCGTGGGGTGCGGCCTCTCAGAAATCTTGCAGGTGGGCACCGGGGGCTCTGTGGCTCTGCGCCCGTGGAGACTCACCGGCTATGTTGGCCAGGGCCTGCAGCCCCGAGGAACACTGTCTATTGATGCTGCACATGGGCACGGTCTCCGGGATGCCACTGCGAAGGAGGCGGGCGGGGGGCAGCGTCAGTCCCCGCAGTACACCTGCCCCACCAGGGGCTGCCAGGCCAGCTCCTGGGCAGAGCCGGGCTCTGCAGGGGCTTGCTCCCCAGCACCTACGGCCAGGGGCCCTCCAACCCTCCAGTCCCCCTCGGAACCCCAGGGAGCGGAAGCACAGGGATGATGCCGGTGTGCGGCACCCCCAGCGCCCGACTCCCACCTTCACTCGCTCACCGACTGCCCTCTCCGCGCCAGGCACCACCCAAGGGACACCGAGACAATGGATCAGTGTGCCCTACACAGGAAGTGGACCAGCTGGACGGGACTGAAGCAACGGCCCAGCTATGGCAGAGGCGGGGGGCTCACATAGCCACGCCCCCATGAAGAGCCCATGCCTGCGCTGGGTTCAGCTGGGCCACAGCCTGGAGGCAGGGTCAGCACGGCCAGGGCAGGAGGACGAGAGGCAGAGAGCAGGCCGAGAGAGGGAAGGTAGCTGTGGAGCCAGACTGTGGGCGGCCTTGAACTCCAGTCTGTGCTGCCACCTCCCCGGTCACTAAAGGAGTTCGCTTTGCCGGTCCCTCACTGGGCAGCAGTCCTGCCACTCCTCTGTGCAGGTGAGAGGCTCTGAAACCTACGGGTGAAAGCCACTGAAGCACTAGCGCCCACTCAGGACGGCGGCAGCGTTCCTGGGGCCAGGCCTGGAGCTCCCCGCAGCCCAGCCCCCACTCACACGCAGTCACCCTGTTTACCTGGCAGACGAGGGCACAGTCCACCCTCATGAGGGACAAGAAGCCCGTGAGCTCCTGCCCCAAAGAGCCCGTGTCCTGGCCCAGCGCCGACCCCTCCCTGCCCAGAGCAGGCGCCCGGGGGTTGCTGCCCCAGGCTGTGCCCTCCCCCCCAGGGCATGCTGCCAGGCTGGGTCCACTCTGAGTCCCCTGGACAGCCCAGAGCCTCGGGAGAACTTGCCTCAGGAACTGCGCGATCCGGGCCATGACGGCCCCAGCCCCCGGCTGGAGCACGTTCCCTGCAGACGGTAAGCCGGGGCTCAGGTGCCAGGCGGCAGCCACGAAGCCCCTGGAGGAGTCGTTCCTGTCTGTCTGCCTCACCCAGCCTCTGCCCCCCAGCGCAAGCTGCACCTTCACGGGGAGCCTAAGCACAGAGCGCTGCGGGTGCCGGGCGAATCCAGCAGAGTGGCTCCTGCCAGTGCCCAGTGCCCTGCGTGGGCCGTCCCACGCCCCGCTGCCAGCTCCACGGCTGGAGACGTGGGGACCCTCTGCAGGTGCCTGAGCCGCTGGCCCCGCTGTGCGTGGACAGACACGTCCTGGGGGCCCGGCTGCAAACAGGAGCCGCCCCCCGGGGCCCTGCAGGGACGGACGGGAGGGTCCGGCTCACCCACGCAGATGTCCCCCAGCTGCTCCGGCCGCAGCCTCACGTCCTGCAGGACCGCGGTCAGCACGGCCGCCAGGAGCTCGTCGGGGGTGGTGTCCTGAGCGAGAGGCACAGCCGCGCTGACGCCGCCTCCCCGCGGGCATCGCGCGCCCCGGGGCTCAGGCGGCGCCGGGACCCCTGGAGCCCTACCTTGAAGCCGCCGCGGCCCGCCTTGCCGATGGCCGTGCGCCGCCCGTGCACCACCACCACGTCCGAGGCCGAGGCGCGCGGGGAGACGCCCAAGCAGCGCGCGGCCTGCGGCGCGGGGCCCGAGTCGGGGCGGCCGCTCAGGTGGCCCAGCACGACCTGCAGCCGCCACATCGCGCGGGTCTTCGGCGTAGACGCGCCTCTGGCCGCGGGACCCACCATCGCGGATTAAAAACCCTTGGGCGCAGGCGCAAAACCGCACCTCCGCCTCAAGCCGCAATCACCGCCCACCGCTCAGCGGATTGGGGCGAGCCGCCCCCAGAGGGCCCGCCCTCCCTGCTCCACCAACCAGAAGGCGCGCTCGCCTGAAGTCCCGCCCCCTGGGCCCCGCCCATAGCCCCTCCCCGCGGCCAACCGAAGCGGACCTTCCTGGAGCCCTGCCCACAGGCGCGGGCCGAAAACTTCCCCGGTTTCGCAACTTTGGGTAGACTGACAGGCCGGCCCCGAAGCCCCGCCCGCAGCTGCCCGCGCGGACCTAAGTCCTCCTCCCCGCCCAGGGGCCGTGCTGTGCCCGGTGCCGACGCCCGGCCGGGGGCTTGGCCACTCCCGGCTGCGCGTCCCCGAGGGAGCGTGGGCGTCACGCGGGGGAGGACCGCCCCGCACGTGCGCGAGCGGCTTCGCAGCAGTGTGTGGTGTCTAGCCGGCTGCCCGCCTTCCCCAGGCCCAGGTCCCCGGAGAGGGACCCTAGATCCCGGGAGCCTGCCGCGTGCCTGGCACCTGCTAGGTGACGGTGCGCACCTGCCGGATACAGGACGCGCCGGGGCTCGCGGGGCGGGACTGTGTGCCGACCCCAGCCCGCAAGGCCAAGCGCCCCTGACTCCCAGGGGAAGGGCCGCGGCCAGCCTCGGACGCCCGAAGCCCCGTCCCGGCTCTACTCGGTGGGCCCGGCCGCCCCTGCCCAACTCCTGGGGACAGGGCCGGGGTCGCAGAGCGCGGAGGCTCCAGAGGACAGGGCCGACGCCGGTCCCCCCGCGTCTGCCGCCGCCGTGCCCGGGGACAGCCGAGCGGGAGGGGTCTGGCTTGCTCCGATCCGGCCCAGCGAGGCCCCCGCGGCCCCGGGATGAGGCCGGGGCCCCTCCCCGCGGCCGGTCGACGCGGTTCTGCGGGGCGGCGCTTCTCGGAAAGCCGAGGCCGGCGGGGCGGGGCGGGCGCAGGGGAAGAGGAAGCGCGGGCCGGCGCCGCGCCCCGGGAGCAGCTCGCCATGGCCGCGGGAGGCCCCGACCTGAGCTCCGAGCCCCCCGCGCGCTCCGCGTCCTCGCTGCCCCTGGCGGCGCTCAACGTGCGCGTGCGGCGGCGCCTGGCGCTGTTCCTGAACGTGCGCACGCAGGTGGCAGCCGACTGGAGCGCGCTGGCCGAGGAGATGGGCTTCGAGTACCTGGAGATCCGGCAGCTGGAGACGCGCCCCGACCCCACGGGCAGCCTGCTGGACGCCTGGCAGAGCCGCCCCGGCGCCTCGGTGGGCCGACTGCTGGAGCTGCTGGAGGCGCTGGGCCGCGACGACGTGCTGGCCGAGCTGCGCCCCAGCATCGGTGAGGGCACCCCTTCCTGGCGCGGGGGCAGTCAGCGTCCGATCGGCCCAGGGGCGGAGGGAGAAGGGCACGGCCCGGTTCCCTGTCCTGGCCCGGCCGGGAGAAAGGCGGAGGAGGCCCGGGGCAAGGTGGGGCCGCGGCGTGGGCAGAGCCCTCCAGGCAGGCCAGCCATGAGGATCAGGCTGGGGCCGGGGCTCGGGTAAGAGTGCTTTGGACACACGCGGTGGCTCACATGACAGCCGCCCACAGACAGGCGCACGGTGCTGGTTTGGGGCCGCCGCCATCCCTAGCCGTAGCCGCTGAGGCTCCTGCACCCTTGCTCCCAGCGCCCGGGGTCCCGCCAGGCTCAGGGACCCAGGACAAAGGGACGGCCGCGGCTGTGGAGGGAGGAAGTGGGTCGGAGCTGTGACCGCCGGCCACAGGGCTGTCACCGCCTCTTCCCGCAGAGGAGGACTGCCAGAAGTACATTTGGAAGCAGCAGCAGGAAGAAAGCGAGAAGCCCCTGCAGGTGGCTGTGGTAGGCAGCAGTGTCCCACGGACCCCGGAGCTGGCCGGCATCACCACGCTGGATGACCCCCTGGGTAAGGGCGGGACCAGCCGGCGTTCAGGGCAGAGGGGCTGTGGGGCCCCGCGCAAGTCCCTGAGTCTTTCGGGGATCGGGATGACCCCCACCCCCAACACGCCCGTGAGCTGCTGTGTCCTTTAGCCAGGGATTGGTCCCCCCCCGGGGGGGGCTGAGCTTCCCTCTCCTGGGAATGTCCTCCTGGGTGGGGGTGGGGCCTGGGCAGGCTGCCAGCCCCCAGCCCGCAGCCCGCCTGGGCCAGGCTCCTCGCCAGCCTCCCCGTGGCCCTGTTCTGTGCCCAGGCCAGGTGCCCGAGCGCTTCGACGCCTTCATCTGCTACTGCCCCAGCGACATGCAGTTTGTGCAGGAGATGATCCGGCAGCTGGAGCAGACCAACTACCGGCTGAAGCTGTGCGTGTCTGACCGCGACGTCCTGCCCGGCGCCTGCGTCTGGTCCATCGCCAGTGAGCTCATCGAGAAGAGGTGCGTGAGGCACGTCCACGGCTGGGCCCCCCTCCCAGCTGGGTCCTGTGCGGCCTGGGCTCCGCTGAGCAGCCTGCCCGCTGTCCCCCACCCCCAGGTGCCGCCGGATGGTGGTGGTCGTCTCGGACGATTACCTGCAGAGCAAGGAGTGTGACTTCCAGACCAAGTTTGCCCTCAGCCTCTCTCCAGGTGAGCGCAGAGGAGCAGGAGGCGGGGCCTCAGCAGGGAGCCCCTGCAGGGGGTGTTGGGTGCTGCCAGGGGAGGGCTGTGGGAGGCCCTGGGCTGGGGCCTGGTGCCAGTGCCGCCCCTGGCTTGCAGGTGCCCATCAGAAGCGGCTGATCCCCATCAAGTACAAGGCCATGAAGAAAGAGTTCCCCAGTATCCTGCGGTTCATCACCGTGTGTGACTACACCAACCCCTGCACCAAGTCCTGGTTCTGGACCCGGCTGGCCAAGGCCTTGTCCCTGCCCTGAGGCTGGTGCTGGCCTCTGTCCGCCTGCCTGTGCACTCTCGGCACGGCTCCTCCTGTGGCTGCGTGGGCACCGGCGCCCCCTTTGTCTCTCGACTCTTGGAACTGCCGGCCCCGCAGGTCCTCTGCTACAGCCTCACAGCATCTGGGCACCGTGACCGTGACCATGGGGGCCGGCTGGGCGCGAGTGGAGCCAGCTCCGAGCTCGTCTCCCGTCTCTGGCCCGAGCGGTGAGGTGGGAAGGTCGGGCAGTGGCTGTTCTCGTAGCAAAGCTGAGGCGCTGCCCCGGCTGTGCACGTGCCCATGGTCTCAGCCTCAGCCCAGCTGGGCTGTGGAGGGATCCTGGCCTCTGCTGTAGCTGTCGGACGTGTGCACCGGGGCTGGGCCGCCTTGTGCTGTGAGCAGGGACCTTCCGCCGGGCCACCTCTGGGACTCCTGAGTGCCTCAGCCAGCCGTTTGCTTACAGACAGGGACCGCACGAGGTTCTGCTGCCCCAGGCTCCGGCCACACGGACACGCAGACTCGTGGGCACACGCGGGCCCCCGCGTCTTCCTGGGTGCTGGCGTCCCCCTGGACAAACCTGGGCCACGGCTGTCGTCCTTTGCCCCCGTCCCTGGTCCCTGGGACTGCAGGGAGCGTGCAGGGAGGGCAGCAGCTGCCGGCCTGCGCTGTGGGGGAGCGGCCGGCACAGCCCTGTCTACCACCAGAGTGCTCTGTGCTGCACCCTCTTCCACGCAGACCACGCGGTGGGCTCAGGTGTCTGGCCCTGGACAGACCCCGGCCCCAGGACCCAGGGGAGACTGTCTCCTGTGCTTCGGACTGCGTGCCTGCCCCGGGTCTCAGGGGCCACGGAGCCCCTCCCTGTCATCTTCGTGATGTACATGGATGCCACGTGCCTGGCCCCTCCGTGTCGGGCGTCTTAGAGCTGTCGTGAGAAGGCATCGTCTGGCCCTGTCTAGTGGGCACTGCTAGACTCCCAGGAGTTGACGCCAAATGTCGGAGCCTCATTCTCCCTCCTGTAACCCGGTTTGTAATAAAGAGTAATCTATTTTGGGGATGGCGCGTGTGCGTATTGCGTGTGTATGCATGTATGAGCATGTGTGTGTTGTGTGTATAAGCATGTGCATATATGTGTGCATGTGTCCGTGTGTGCGTGTTGTCTTGTACATGTGTGCATATGTGTGTTTGTCCATGTGTAGTGTAGATGCCTGTGTATGCATGTATACATGTATGAGCATGTGTGTTGTGTGTATATGCATGTGCATATATGTGTGCATGTGCCCATGTGTGCGTGTTGTCTTGTACATATGTGCATATGTGTGTTTGTCCATGTGTAGTGTGTATACATGTGTGTACATGTGTGTGCATGTGTGTTTGCCATGTCAGTATGTATATACATGTGTATATGTGAATGTGTATATGTGTGTATGTGCATTGTGTCTTGTATATGTGTGTGCATATGTGTACATGTGTTTGTCCATGTGTAGTGTATACGCATGTGTGTATGTGTCTGTGTATATGCACATGTATGTGTATGTGCATGCATGTGTGGGTGTGCATGTGTGTTTACCGTGTCAGTATGTATGTGCATGTGTGGGCGTGCATGTGTTTGCCGTGTCAGCATGTACGTGCATGTGTATATGTGTGTGCACGCATGTGTGGGCATGCATGTGTGTTTACCGTGTCAGTACATATGTGTATGTGTGTATGTGCACGCATGTGTGGCTGTGCATGTGTGTTTACCATGTCAGTACGTATGTGCATGTGTATATGTGTGTGCATGCATGTGTGGGTGTGCATGTGTGTTTGCCGTGTCAGTATGTGTATACACATGTGTGGATGTATGTGTGCACGCGTGTGTGGGCGTGCATGTGTGTTTGCCGTGTCAGTATGCATACACATTGTGGATGTGGATGTGTGCGCCCATGCACAGGGCTGGGGGCAGGACCCTGCGGCACGGCAGTCTACAGCTCGGCCAGCACCTGTTGGTGAGGTCTCCGGGTTCTCCAAGGGCCACCTGAAGGCCGGGCTTCCTCAGGGCTCAGGGCTCACCAGGGCTGTGTGCGGAAACAGGGAGACGGGCTGCTGCTGTGGCGTAGCAGGTGAAGCCACAGCCTCAGCACCGCATCCCATGTGGGCGCCGGTTCTAGTCCCGGCTGCTCCTCTTCCAGGCCAGCTCTCTGCTGCGGCCTGGGAAAGCAGTGGAGGATGGCCCGAGTGCTTGGGCCCCTGCACCCACGTGGGAGACCCTGGAGAAGCTGCTGGCTCCTGGCTTCGAATGGGCACAGCTCCAGCCATGTGGCCATTTGGAGAGTGAACCAGCGGATGGAAGACCTCTCTGTCTCTCCCTCTGTAATTCTACTTCTCAAATAAATAAATAAATAAAATCTTTAAAAAAAGAAGTCCTACAGCTCAACACCAAGTTAGCAACCTGATTCAAAATGTACATAGAGGGGCCGGCACTGTGGCACAGTGGGTTAGAGCCCCAGCCTGCAGTGCCGGCCCATATGGGCACGGGTTCAAGTCCCGGCCACACCACTTCCAATCCAGCTCCCTGCTAATGTGCCTGGGAAAGCAGCAGCAGATGGCCCAAGTGCTTGGGCGCCCACACCCACATAGGAGACTGATGAAGCTCCTGGCTTTGGCCGGACCCAGCACTGGCTGTTGGTGCCATCTGTGGAATGCACCAGGGGACGGAAGATCTCCCTCTCTCTTGCCTGCTCTTCCGTAACTCTTTCAGAATAAATCAATTTTTTTTTTGACAGGCAGAGTGGACAGTGAGAGAGAGAGAGACAGAGAGAAAGGTCTTCCTTTGCCGTTGGTTCACCCTCCAATGGCCGCCACAGCCGGTGCACCGTGCTGATCCGAAGCCAGGAGCCAGGTGCTTCTCCTGGTCTCCCATGCGGGTGCAGGGCCCAAGGACCTGGGCCATCCTCCACGGCACTCCCGGGCCACAGCAGAGAGCTGGCCTGGAAGAGGGGCAACCGGGACAGAATCCGGCGCCCCGACCGGGACTAGAACCGGGTGTGCCGGCGCCGCTAGGTGGAAGATTAGCCTAGTGAGCCGTGGCACCGGCCAAATCAATAAATCTTTAAAAAAATGATTCAGATGGCAAACCGTATGTAATGTGCATTTTACTACAGTAGGGAAAAAAGACATTCCTGACCTATCTGGGGCAAAGGGACCAATACAGGCCAGCACGGTGTAACTGTGGCAAACATTTCCTCTGTCCCAGTTGAAATGGACCTCAGCACATGAGGGCTGCTGACGGGGCCTGCACGGGCGCTGATCTTTTGAAGAAAGAGGAAGGGCCGGCGCTGTGGCGTGGCCGGTAAAACCGCCGCCTGCAGTGCCGGCATCCTGTATGGGCTCCAGTTGGAGCCCCGCTGCTCCACTTCCGATCCAGCTCATCTAAAAAAAAAAAAAAAAAAAGAGGAAATCTGCAGACCCCGGAGGCCCTCCTCCAAGTCCACGGTCATTTCATTTCTCTTTTTTGTTTGCAAAGTGTCCGAGGCAGAGATGACCACTTGTCAACTTCCTTAATCTACCGTGGACATAAACACTAATGTTTTACTGAAACAGTCAGGTGCGGGTTTTTTTTTTTTTTTTCAGATTTATTTATTTACTTGAAAGTTAGAGTTACACAGAGAGAGAGAAGGAGAGGGAGAGAGAGACAGAGAGACAGAGAGACAGAGAGACAGAGGTGTTCCATCCGCTGGTTCACTCCCCAGTCGGCTCTAATGGCCAGAGCTGTGCTGATCCGAAGCCAGGAGCCAGGAGCTTCTTCTGTGTCCCCCACGTGGGTGCAGGGGCCCAAGGACTTGGGCCATCCTCTACTGCCTGCCCAGGCCATAGCAGAGAGCTGGATCGGAAGAGGAGCAGCCAGGACTTGAACTGGTGCCCACATGGGATGCCGGCACTGCAGGCGGCGGCTTTACCCGCTACACCACAGCACCAGCCCCTAGGAACAGTTTTGAAAAATCAAAGGAAAGCATGAGGTGACTTCAAAAAGTTCACAGAAAATAAATCGAAAGATAAGTGTATTTTGGTACAAATGTTTTTAAAGTCCATGCGGTGTTTTCTCTTTTAAAATATTTTATTATTTCTAAAAATTTATTTGAAAGGCAGAGTTAAAGAGAGAAACTTCCATCTGCTGGTTCACTCCCCAAATGGCAGCAACAGCCGGGGGCCGGGCCAGGCTGAAGCCAGGAGCCAGGAGCCAGGAGCTTCTCTGGGTCTCCCACGCGGGTGCAGGGGCCCAAGTACTTGGGCCATCTTCCACCGCTTTCCCAGGCCACAGCAGAGAGCTGGATTGGAAGTGGAGCAGCCAGGACTCGAACCAGCACACATATGGGATGCCGGCACTGCAGGTTGAGGCTTAGCCCACTACGCCACAGCGCCAGCCCTGTCTAGTTTTTTTCATGATGCACATTTTCTCTGACCAGAAACCCCTGCTGTGGATTCTGACCACGACGTCATTTTATGACCTTGTGTGTGCTTTTGAGGATCTGCTTATCTTGTTGGTCCAGACCAAAAGAACACAAAGATAAGCCAGTCCGGGGGATTTCAAGGCTGTGGGGCTGGGACCGAGGACCCCGGGGTGCAGGGACTTCAAGGCTGTGGGGCTGGGACCGAGGACCCCGGGGTGCAGCCTGACTGACGCAGGAGGGCAGACGCTGGTGCCAGGGACCAAAGCACCCAGGATGCTGTGTCTCTTCCCCAACAGATGACGCAGAGCCGCTCACCTCTGTGCACCTCTGGCTTGGGGAGGCTGGCGTGGCCGGCACCATATTCCGGGAGTGACACCCGAGTGACACAACGGAGCCCTCCGTGGCAGAGGCGCTAGCTTGGCCGAAGGCAGCACTGCCCGCCAGTCCTGGAGACAGACCTCCGGGCTCAGAGGTCTCAAGGGGCCTCTGGAGACGGACGGCCTTCAGATGGCAAAGCCAGGAAGGGGAGAAAAGCATCGAGTGGTGAGGGAAGGATTTCACACCGGGCAGCCGGGGGGTGCCGGAGGGCGTGGAGACTGCGCGGCAGGACAAGGTTCCCTAGGGGTGGCCGGGCCCTGCAGCTCGGGCCACGCGCCGTCTGGCCAGGAGAGGACTCAGCCAACTTCAGGAACACAGTGTTGTAATTAGGAAATGCCTGAAGTTTGTACTCCTTAAATAAAAGGGGGGGGGGGACTTGCAGCCAGAACGTGCGGACTTAGTGGTTATGTGCAAGACGGATCGGGGAAGGTGATGGCACAGTCCCACATTCTTCTTCAGGCAGTGCTCAAACACAAGCCAGAGATGAGTGGTGACTCCGGGCCCTGGGATTTCTCCTGGGCTCGGCTGCACCGGCACGTCCCGGGGCCTCCCGGCCTCAGCACGCATGCGTCTGCTCAATCGCGGCGACCTGCCCCGGCCTCACGAGGTCCCGAGGCGCAGAGGGCAGCTCGGGCGCTGTGGGCGTTGCCAGGCTCCCCGAGTGCGTGTCCACCAGAAGGCGTGCGTGGACAGCACCGGCCTCTTCTACGTCTAAAGGAGCCTCCTAGACGGCCCCTGGCCTCAGCACGCAGGCCGCTGTAGATTCCTGGTGGCCACACTGAGAGGCCAAAAAGCAGCCGGTGAAATTGATTTCGGTTGTCTACTTAAAACGTCATCAACGATAGTGGAGTAGCACCAGTCTCGTTGTACGCATTGTACACATTGTACGCATGTACACATTGTACACATTGTACGCATGTACACATGTACACATTGTACACATTGTACACATGTATGCATTGTACACATTGTACACATTGTACGCATGTACACATGTACACATTGTACGAATGTACGCATGTACACATTGTACACATTGTACGCATGTACACACTGTACGCATGTACACATTGTACACATTGTACGCACTGTACACATTGTACACATTGTACGCATGTACACATGTACACATTGTACGCATGTACGCATGTACACATTGTACACATTGTACGCATGTACACACTGTACGCATGTACACATTGTACACATTGTACACATTGTACGCATTGTACACATTGTACACATTGTA